TTCTTGCCTGCAAGATATTTGCCAGTGCCAAAGGAAATAATATTTTGCACTATGACTCATGTAGTTGTTGATGCACTCTATCAAAAGCCTTATCCATATTCATATCTCTCTCTCTTCATTTAACATGAGATTAAGCAGGAATACAAAGGGAAAATCAAGCTGGAGAAAGATGGCAATCATTTTGTTTTTAAATCTATTCCCCAAGTTGCCTGTATCGCATATTTTAAATCTCTTTGGGATTTTCTAGAGGAATTAAAAGTCTGCTAGTTTTAGTTACATGGCATGAAATTTCCACAGAAATTAAGCTTGACGCTCTTCTCTGGCATGTCTTAATAAATGCATTGATAGATATTTCTTTATTCATCACACATTGTCATGTTTTGAAAGTAAAGATATAAATAATAGATAGGTGGACATTATTCTTAAAGTGCTGTTCCAGAAATCATGGTGTTTTCCTATTTCTTTATCATTGTTTTTGTTCTATTGATAATTTTCTTTCAGATCCATCTTTATAGCTACCGAATCTCTAAATATTTTCTTTATCTTTTTTATTTCTAATTAAGGTTGCCTCTCTCTGTCTTTTCTATAGATACTTTCATGATAATTGTTCATATGAGCTCTTCACTATGTTACCTAAACTTTTTTAATTTAAGTGCAGTACTTGACTGGCATCAAGATATCATAATTTTACAGATGAGTTGGCTAGATCTAGCTTTAATTTCTATACTAACAGTTCCTTTTCTCACACTTCTTGCTTGTGGAAATCCCTTCCAGCTCCATGCTTTCCAGCCGACTTTAATCTGTAAAAATTTAAATGCAATGTCAATTGCTATCTACCATCCTCCTGATTACTCTTTTTCTTTTTATTAATGTTTCTTTTCCTAATTCTTCCACGCCCTGTGACTTTGTCTTAGTAGCTTTACTGCCTTGCATGGGCTGATACCATTTAAAAAAAACAAAAATATATGTTGTGATAATAATATATTTTAATTTAACTTCTTTATAATAATGTTCCTTTTTTTTTTTTTTTTCTATAGTTATACATCAATAGTAACTTTAACTTCTTCATTTACTATTATCAATCTTATTCATTATGGACAGGTCTCTGGTGATTTTGGAAATGTAGCAGCCTGGACACTATTCCATGAGAGATCAAGTTCTTTTTCAAATAAAAGTGATTTTTCTTTGGCTTCTACTCCATCACCTCTTACAGACCTGAACTCCCTAACTCCACCTGGTACCACCACAACCATCTCTACTACTGACAGCCTTTGCCCTCATCAGTCAAGCTGTCTTAGTCTCACTGGATATAATGACTCATTCTTTGATGTCTTGACCACATGACAAAGTTGGCCAAATGACCATGAGGCTTGCTGAGCCAGTGCTCCTTAACAAAGAGTGTTCATTGGTCCCAAATTCCAAATTTTCTTTACTGAAGTTCCTTCACCTTCTCTGTTCATTTTTCTCCTTTTAAGATCTCTCCTTTAGCTTTTCTCTCTACTTCTTTTCTTTTGTCCATCTTCACTGACTTGATCTATCATATAGATCAAATGAAATATTTCACACACATGCTTTGAATAATCACAGAATGTGTGCTTTTAGAACTCTGAGCCAATCACAACCTGTCTACCTGTATGTCTCTCCTAGAATTCTTAGAAGTTCTCTCTTTCCTTTCTCGCATGCCTCTCTCTCTCTTTCCTTTCTCGCATGCCTCTCTCTCTCTTTCCTTTCTATGCTTTCTCTCTTTCCTTTCTCGCCTCTCTCTCTCTTTCTTTCTGCCTCCTCTCTCTCTCTTTCCTTTCTCGCATGCCTCTCTCTCTCTTTCCTTTCTCGCATGCCTCTCTCTCTCTTTCCTTTCTCGCATGCCTCTCTCTCTCTTTCCTTTCTCGCATGCCTCTCTCTCTCGCTCCCCTTCTTGTATTTTTTGTCCCATCTCTCCCTGTTTCTGCATGTTTCTCTCTCCTATTATGTCATGATTTCTAGTCTATCTGATTTTGACACTCTCTTTATCTAAATGCATCACAGTCTTTTTATGCATCCATCCATCCATCCATCTAATAAAAGATGAAAATACTTGTGACTTTCTTCATCCCACACATTAAATTTATTTTTAGTTAGAAAACAGAACTTGAAATTTTTGTGATTATTTATTTTAGAAAACAATTGAGAACACCGAAGATTTTATCAGTCATCATCCAATATTCTTTAAGTATTGATTATCTGCTCCTGATTTATACCTCCTCCTTCCCACTACTCCCCCCACTCCTCTTCCTCCATATCAATCATTTGAATATTCTCCAGCATATTTCCAAGAATGCACCTGAGGTAAATGCTGTTATTTGTCTATTTTAATCCTTATTTATTATTTTCTCTCCTTAATTGGAGGGGGGTATAATTGATGAATGTGAAATTCTTGCTAATTAACCAACAAGAGATGTGCATATTTAATGTCTTTAGGGTTCAGCAAAATCATTTTTCTACTTCTGCCAACCAAAATGGCAGAGAGCATTAAATTTTAGCCAATCACCATTCTTTATAAAGAAGATAGGAACTACAGTACTTTTTGTGTGTGAGTGTATTTTATTTATTTATTTTTTTCTCATTTTTGATTCATCCTTTGAATGAATAACAACAATCATTAAGGGATATATTTCTGATAACCACGCACAATAATTGGAGGGAAAAAGAAGTTAAAAACAAACTATTTCTACATTATAGCTTACATCCGGAAATAATACTGTCAGCAATCTTGAAAGAGGAAAAAAATATCAAGAAAAATAAAATGACAATGAAAAATGTAACCTCTTTAAAATTACTACTTGTTCTAACTCCATCGGCAATGTATTCTTCACTTACAGTTTCATGTTTTTTTGCTTTGGAATTTTCACTATGGATTGATTATATGTTAAGGCATTTCCAACCTTATTTAAGATTATTATTTCTTCATTCCCCACCATTTTTATTCTGGTACCATTTTCTAGAATAAAAGAAGTCTTGAAAATTCTAAGTGCTATTACTCATCAGTTAATGATTAGAAAATCAGGAATTGTACAATTCCAATGCATTACGACAATCTTGTTAGGAATGTTATTCGAAAAACAACAAGCATCTTACTTTAATTTAACCTTCTAATGGCCAAGTAGATGTTTGAAACTACCTCTTCTTTGTAGGCCAAATGCCTAAAAGTATTATTTATATTGGTTTTATAGCTTACAGGACATATACTTCTGCTGTTCATGTAAAAAATATATATATATATATATATATACAGCTTACCAAACTTGCTTAGATTATATAATCATTATTACTTTTATATCTACAATTTATTTCTGGTTTTAATATTTAAAAAATATATTTACAAGCCAATTTAGGTTAATTAATTTTTAACTAATATCGAACTAGCTTTTGGTCTTATTAAAAAAAAACATAAGAATAATGTATTTGTTAGAAGTACTTTTAGATTAAAAAAAAAAAAATAATAATTTTGAATCATTTGATTTCATGCATTAACATATTTTTATAGCTAATCTGAAAGTGACAAACTTGAGAGATGCCTGATAACCATTCTGAGAAGTTTTAATATTGAGTTTGTAAAAGTATATTTTAAACCACTTTAATAAATGTGTCACAATTATATTTACATTTAAAGTTTCCAGAATTGAAAATGGATCATTTAAAAAATAACAAAAGCACAGGCTAACAAAAGATCATAAATAATTTTACGGATTATTTTTGAGTTTCATTTTTTTTCATCTTAAGATGATCAGTTTATTCTTTTTTCTAACTCATTTTGATATAACTGATAACAGACAATTTTAAAATATATATTTTCAGTTTTTCAACCCATTTTATTAAATTAAAGATGATAGGCTTTGCTCACTTTGTATTGACTGCTTTTGTAAATGAATTGAAGTAATAAATCTTGAAGTAATAAATCTTGAAGTATGTATTTAATTAAAAGGTTCTGAAACTTGAACTTAAAATTGTTAATGTTTGTAGCTGAAGATAAAATCTGTGAAAATGCAATCACCCCAACTAGGTTGATAAAAAATTTATTTCTTTTTTTTATACCAACAATTTTATTCTTCTTCATAAAACTTAATCACCTCAACTTATTTCTTCTTTTTCCTTATCTTTGAGACTTTTTATATCCACCAAGGACATCATGTCATGTCTAATTATACTCTCTTAAAATGCTGTGGCTCCTCCTGGATTTTAAGAATAATGTTAGTGGGTGTCAGTTCTTTCTGTCATTAAAAAAAAAAAAATAGTTATGAGGCAGCCATTGTGTTAATCTCGTCCCTTAACTAGATCTGTTATTCTGATGGTCAATTTGGGGGACTCTGAGGATTTCAGATTGTTGAGAAAATCCACTTTGTGTTTGAATGTTCTTTCTTGTCTTTACTTCTTTGAAACATAATTGGCATGTTATGCCTGGTTAGGGGTTGATTTGCATATTGTACCTGGCAGTCCTGTGTGAATATTGCAGTTAATTTCAACAATACCCTCAAGGGTTCTTTTGCTTCCTTTTAGGAACATAATTCTATTATTACCACTTTATTTTTTTTTCTTTTGTGTGTGAGTGTGGGTGAATATTTGCATGTGTAAATATCTGCCCAGAAGTTTTTCTTTCTTTCTTAGAATGGGCAAGATTTGAAGACAAGTACTTACCCAAGGCCCTAAACAACACAACATGACATCTCTTTGGTTCATATAAATTTACCTTCTATTTTTTTTTTTTTTTCTTGTCTGCAGAATTGTTTGGCCATATGCCCTCCAGAAAATTCCCTTTTTTATCCCCTAATCAAATAAATGTTTTTTGTTTTGTTTTTCATCATTATTATGATGACAACAATAATGATGATGATGATGGTATTGTAGTAGTAGTAGTAGTAATCCTAGCATTGCATTTATTTCTAACTTGGTCAAGTGATGTTAACATTTTTAGAGAAATGATTTTAACTTGTTTTCTTTAAGGAGAAATTTTTTGTAAAGTAATGATGTGCAATAAGTTAGCTTCATCTTATTTTAATGTTTTATTTTTACTCTTTCTAATTGCTTTATTTCTCAAAAAATTCACTATTTTCTCTCTCTGTTTTTCCGCTCTCTCCTTGTCTTTTCCTTTCTCTCTCTTTCTCTACCTCTCCTTTTTCTCTCTCACTCTCTGTATCTTTTCCTTTTCTCTCTTTCTATCTTTTCATTTTCTCCCTTTCTGTCTTTTACTTTTCTCCCTTTCTGTCTTTTACTTTTCTCTCTTTCTCTCTCTTTTACTTTTCTCTCTTTCTCTCTCTTTTACTTTTCTCTCTTTCTCTCTCTTTTACTTTTCTCTCTTTCTCTCTCTTTTACTTTTCTCTCTTCTCTCTTTTACTTTTCTCTCTCTTTTACTTTTCTCTCTCTCTTTTACTTTTCTCTCTCTCTCTCTTTTTACTTTTCTCTCTTCTCTCTTTTTACTTTTCTCTCTTCTTCTCTCTCTTTTACTTTTCTCTCTTCTCTCTCTTTTACTTTTCTCTCTTCTTCTCTCTCTTTTACTTTTCTCTCTTCTTCTCTCTTTTACTTTTCTCTCTTCTTCTCTCTCTTTTACTTTTCTCTCTTTCTCTCTCTTTTACTTTTCTCTCTCTTTTACTTTTCTCTTTCTCTCTCTTTTTTTTCTCTCTTTCTCTCTCTTCTCTCTTTTCTCTCTCTCTCTCTTTTTTCTCTCTCTTTTCTCTCTCTTTTTACTTTTCTCTCTCTTTTACTTTTCTCTCTCTTTTACTTTTCTCTCTCTTTTACTTTTCTCTCTCTTTTTCTTCTTTACTTTTCTCTCTCTTTTCACTTTTCTCTCTCTCCATTCCCTTCCTCTCTCTCTCTCTCCATTCCTTCCTCTCTCTCTCTCTCATTCCTTCCTCTCTCTCTCTCTCTCCATTCCTTCCCCTCTCTCTCTCTCTCCATTCTCTTCCCTCTCTCTCTCTCCATTCCCTCCTCTCTCTCCATTCACTTCCTCTCTCTCTCTCTCTCCATTCACTTCCTCTCTCTCTCTCTCTCTCCATTCACTTCCTCTCTCTCTCTCTCCATTCACTTCCTCTCTCTCTCTCCATTCACTTCCTCTCTCTCTCTCCATTCACTTCCTCTTTCACTCTCTCTCTCCATTCACTTCCTCTTTCACTCTCACTCGGTCTTTTCCATTCTGTACATCTCAGCCTTTTCTCTTTCTTTTCTTTGCTTATTTCAGCACCGTTTTGAAGATTTTTGAAAATCTACTCACCAGGAGACAAAAGTATTTTTGATATATAATTTATTTTTCTGGAAGGATGTTGAAATATTCGCATTTTGTCCAAGAAGCCTGTCTAAATGAAAAGAAAATTTGATTTTTTTATCATTTTAAAAAGTTGATTGAGCCAAGAACTTTTCAGCAGCCTGACATATATATATATATATATATATATATATATATATATATATAATACAGTATTGTCTTATATAAATGTGTGTTTGTATAATCTAAAATATACTGGAGAAATGGACTTGAAAGTATTTCTGATTTTTTAATATTTTGTTTTATGAAAAATATGTTTGAATTGTTTGTATTTTTAACATTTTTCATAAATGCTTTTCCTTTTTTTTTCTTTTTTAGGTAAGTACCACACATTCTCATTATTCATGTTGTTGAGAAAATTTAGTTGAGTTACCAGGTGAGTGCCTCCAAAGTATATTTCTGATAGCCTTTAACTATAAAAAAAAAATGTTTATTTTTTAAAGTTTTAATGTTTATTTTTCCTTATTTCATTTTATTTTTTTTACCAAACCAACACTGAAACTATTCACATTTCTATAACTTCAAAGCTGTATGTGTGTGTATGTGTGCATTTACTTATATTTTGTAATTTTTTAAAATAATTTTCTGTTGTAATCTTTAAAGAATTTTTTTTTCTTAACTAAAAATATTTCCCTTGACTAAAAGAAGGAAAAAATTCTCATCTGTTTTGTAAAGTTCTCATGATTTTGTTTCTTTTATTCATTTTCTTCACACGTCATTTCCAAGGCATTTTTGCAATACATGCCAAGTTTGGAAAATATGAAAACATTTCTGCTTGACTAACTCATGAACAAAAAAAAATAAAAATTAAAAATTGTTAATAGGTAGAACATTACAATAATTTAACAAATTTCTTTTATATTCCTCGATATTAACTTAATATCTTCATTGATAAGAATAGAAAAGTAATTAATTGGTCCAGATTATTTCTAGAACTTTCTTTAAAATTAACATTTTATTCTCAATATACATTTTTTTTTTTTTTTTTGGTAAACATGAAATATTTGTAAAATGTTGTCCAATGCTAAACTTAATTTTCCCTGAAAGCTATAAAAATTTCATCAAATTCTTGTTTATTCTTATTTATACAAAATTTTAATTGATTAGATTTTGAAAATTAATAAAAAGATATCTCTGCCAAAATAAATTCTGGTTGAACTGTATAGTTGTCAAAATGGCAAAATAAAATTCAGCTAAGATTCTTTTATATATATATATATATATATATATATATATATATATATATATATATATATATATATATCACAAAATGAATTAAGATTATATATAGGTGATGATCATTATTACCTAGTAAATTAAAATAATTTACAAGGATTTTCAAACCAGTTAAGGATAATTTGTAAATTCTCAATTTACAAGGTGATAATGATCATCACCTATATGTAATTTTAATTCCTATTGTATGAAATATGTTGTTCTGTTTAATTAAAACATTAAGCTCTCTGTGAATCAGTTTTAATATTTAATATCTTGTATTTTATTGGTAGGATTCACTTGAATTATATACCAGCAGATTATTATGCCTATATATATATATATATATATATATATATATATATATATATATAATTATTTTTAATTTAAAATTTTTATTACTTCAAATGTTACTATGGTGGGTACTCATATTTGAACAAAGTGTTTTATGTCTATAGGACTGTATATTCTAGAAATCTTACTTTTAAAGTAAAATAAAAATGGGGCATTTATTTCAAATGCAAGTAGCCACTATAATAATGTTTGAATATATATATATATATATATATATATATATATATATATATATATATATATATATATATATATATACACACATCTAATGTATCTTTTGTGTGTACCACTTTTCAGAGTGCACAGATGCTACACTCTAACTGTAGACAAAAGGATGGAGAGCAATAATTTGATCTTAAATAAAATATATAGATGCTCTGATTTGGGATTTGGACTGTTGTTCTCATCTTTGTTGTTTTTATCATAACGTTTCATCTGTTGTGCCCTTCGGCCTTCTTCAGGTGCATATTGATCTGGGTAACCTACAGGGAATTCTGAACTGAACCCTTTATTTAATCTACAGAGATAAGCTGTTCTCTTTCCACAGCCCATATCTAGGAATATCAGTTCTTATCTTTATTTAGTACTGTTCAGTTATTGCTCACCCATTTCCACTGAGTGCAAGTACACACCGTCTGACCCAGGGCTTGAACTTACCAAATTCACGAACCAACACTTTCATTCATTAGGCCATTGTCCTGTAGGCTTCAGTCCAGAAGTTAAACACCTGAGGAAAGCTGAAAGGCACAATGTGTGAAACATTGTGATAAAAACAACAAAGATGAGGACAATAATCTGAATATAGTGTAAATAATGATAACCCCCATATCAGAAATTCAGACAAAAAATGCTGATTCTTACATAAGTAATTACATAAACTTTTGAGAGGTACTATGCTATTGTGTGTGTGTGTGTATATATATATATATATATATATATATATATATATTATATAAGCATGTTTGGTTGAATAATCTAGAAATATTTTACCTTCTGTGCTTCTTGGGCCTTGCATATGTAAATTATACAGATATAAAATATGCATATTTAAATTAAAAAAAAATGCAGAAATTACACTGATTTTAAGGCACTGGTATTATGAGTCAGTGGGGATGTCTACTGATGACATAATTAACAGTTATAGAACTTGTATGAATTACAGTGAGCATTATTTTTCCCAAATTCCTTTTGTAAAGCATACATATTTATGCTAACTTCCTATCCTTTGTAGCTCTTAGTAACATCTTTTTGCTATCTCTCCTAATCCCTATTCTGTCATCCATTTACACAAGTTCATTAGGAAGGTTATTTACTGCTTAACTATATCCCTCTTGACTTTATTTTATCCTGTGTGTGTTAAATTTTTTAAGTTCTCTTTCCTCATTGTGTGTTCCAGGAATTTCAACTTTTTCTGATTTTAAGTATAATTGTCTTTTTTGTTTCCATTTTACTTAGAACTTCCTCATTGTTCACATTCTCCTTCCCTGTTATTTTCAGTATCATCTGTACTCATTATGTGTCTCAGCTCATAATATTCTCAGTCTCCTTCTGTAGAATTAAATTTCTGTTGCCACAAGTCTCTTCATCTGTGAATTGATGGTCCAGCATTCATTGCAATGTAGGAAAGCTGATATTATATAACATTTTAGTACTCTTTTCTTTGTTTCTAATAAAGTTTTCGTGTTTCTTAATATTTTATTTAGCATCTTTTGCTATTCCAATGCAGCTTCAGATTTCTGTATTGCCTTTTCCTTCTGTTTGTGCCAATGTGGAAATGTTGCATCATGTAACACAAGCGTCATTGAATTGAATTTGATCATTAGTTGAAGTTGCTGATATTGACTTTGTACTTGATGCCCTTATAGAAAACTTGAATCTACTTTTGCCTGTACTCTGTCCTGATGCCAGTCTTGACTTGCATGTCTTATTGGTTGACAGAAAAGAATGGGAAAATGAACACTTGAGTAAACTGTTCTCCCAAAACTATATTACCTGTCCAGATAGTAACAACAAAAAGCTGTTCCCTCCATTATCATCCTTGACAAGGCTGGTGCTAATAACTTATATCATATTTAGTTGGATTGATTCAACTAAATATGTTAACTCTATCACTGATATTGAGCACTTTCCAATAAGTACCGCATATATATAATATATAAAACACACACACACACATATATATATATATATATATATATATATGCATGCATGCTGGAGAGCATATTATCTTTAAGTCTCTCCATTGCACAAGCTGGTGGATATAATTAACGACAGTCTGTTCATGCTTTAATCACAACTATCAGGCCAATGTCCACTTTTATATCTACATACACTCTCTCTCTGATACTGAGCACTTTATCTATAAATATAGCATATAAGTATATTGTTATATAATATATATATATATATATATATATATATATATAAATAATAATAATAAAAAGTGATGACAAAAAAACAGGAAAAGTGTAAGAGCTTAAAAAGGGAAGTGTTCAAATTGTGGTCAATGCAGAGAATAGAAAAACATCCACATTGTGATTTGTTCTCTGGACACCATATCTACTGAACTTCCAAATTAACGAGAGAAGATTGAGGTCAAATGTCAAGACTGGACACCTACAAAAGACTGCACTCATAAGAACTGCTCATTTGCTCCAAAGAGTTCTTGATTCATGATGAAAATGTGCCACCTCAATTCACCAGTTGTGAATAGCTTGTACTTTTGTTGCATCACCAGCAAAACTTGCTGTGTCTAGAAATCAGTAAAACAAAAAATGAAAAATTAATAATTATTATTTTTCCCCCCATTACATGTAAAATATAATTTCTTTAACTTATTGCCTTTGAAGTCAATGAATCTTACACTTTTTAAAATTTAAGGGCATCAGAAATTGAAAGGAAAAGTTTCTACCCAGCAAATGACAATGCTCATATGTTCATAGTACAATAGAACAGTTCACTAGTTATTTCTCTTACTGAACTGGTTGTTATCACTAACATTTTTCTTCCTGTTAAATGTTTTTCTTTTTCTTTCATCTTCTTTTTCCACTTCAGGAGTTTTCGTTACACCCAGCTGAGGAAGAGGCTAGCATGAATATCTTCTAATGGCATATTGTGTTGCACATTGTTTTTGCAGCATCGAATTGCATCATGTGTTATTGTTTATGCCAACATTTTTAAGCAAAATATCTTCAGCTGTATGGAATTACACATTCTGTAATGCCAACCATTGGTCTTTGGGTTGCATGACTTGTGTAAATGTTTGTTTAATGCTACTTGATTGATTGTGATTTGTTTACATTAAATGATTCTGACTTAAGTGGACATTATTTTTGTCCGAAGATGGTTGCTGCTGGGGATATCGGTTCTTGGAAATAACTATTTTTGTTTTATTTTTTGCAAGAGTAAAAAGAATTTTTGTGTGTGAGTGCTAGTAATTTTGTTTACCTCCAAGAAATTTCTATTATTTTTGTGATAAGGACTCTCACATTGTAAGGATTTCTGTCATCCTCTGGCAGGGTTTTTTATGCTTGGTATCATCTCTCTCTTGCAAGCTTGGCAATTACTGTTTTTTTCCAAACTTCAAAGATTTGGTGACAGAAAGGGCATCTAGCTGTAAAAATACCTACTTCTTGTTGATGCATTATCAATTCAATAGATATATATATTAAGGAAAACCCTCATGTTAGCTGAAAAAAGAAAACAAAATTCTTTGAAACAAAAATAATGATTTCTTTTTGTGAAGCCATGAATAGGATAAAAATAATATTTCACTGGCTTCGTTTGTGTCTTTTAACTCATTATATTCACTTCTTTTATTTTATTTTGGTACATTTCACCGAGTATTGGACGGGAATTACCTGTAATCGCAATGTACTGAACTAGAAGTGCTTAAAAAAAATAAATAAATGAAACGCCTTGTGGCTTATGTATTGGCTTCATGAATGCCTTTAAATTTCCATTAAGTATCCCAAATAGAAGTTTCCATTTTCCATTAAAAGAGGAAGAAAAAAATAATAATGGTGTTATGACCTTGGGCAGTAGCACTACGCACGTGCTTCATTTTTTTGCTTAACCCTGTTGTGCAAATAGAGTTGTCATTTTGTGAATTTGAGTGCTAGGGTGGGAGGTGAACGACATTGAGGGTTGCCAAAGAAATAGTGGTGTATCCTTTAAGGGCTTCATGAGCATATGATTGCTCTATTTTGTCACTTGATACTATTTCTGTGAATATGTGAAAGGACTTATTTTTCCTTTTTTTTTTTTTTTTTCTTTTCTTTTCTAACTCTGATTTTGTCCATTAAGATTGAAATTTTAGCTTATTCTGGATTGCTTATCCTTTGCAAAATCTGTGTGTACCTCTCATACACTTATTTGTTTAAGCTCCTCTCAACAAAATGGACTTAAATTGTCGACCATGATGGTGCATACGCACATACATAACGCTTGCATTTAAATTAGAAAGTAGAAAAATATATAATAACTGTGTGTACATGTGTGCATGCATGCATATATATATATATATCTGTGTGTGAGTTTGTGCATTGATGTGTATCCGTATGTATAAAATATCCTCTATGAAAAGATTAGCTGAAAACAAAGGGAGATAATCAAAACAAAGCATTATCAGTGGAAATGGGAAGTGGCAGAGGAGGAAGAAAAGAACATAGATATAGAAAAAAAGGGAAGAATAAGAGAATGAAAATGAGAGAAAGAATAATGCATAGAAAAAAAAAATGAAAGCAATATTAACAGCATAAAACAAATAAAGGCTGGGTGATGGTAGGGATTGGCTCAGAAGCAATAAGATATTGATGGGACCTTTAATATATTGAGAAACCAGAAGGAAAAGTATCTTCAACTCTTGCCTGAGGCACATGAAAGACTGTTATTGTTGTTGTTGTCCAAGAAGAGCTAATTTTTGTGACATTGAAACCCCAAGCACAAAGGCATCTGGTATTAACCTTTACCATCACTCATCTTGGGGTGCATAAAGAAAACAATGTTTCTGGGTTTTCAGAATGGTATGACCCTACTTTCTTATCTCTATTTCTTATCCCCGACTCATACCATTATTTTCACATGGTTTCATATGCAAGAAATATATGCAGCTTATTACCATTGGCTTTTTTTTTAACCTCAGCCACTGCAAAAAGTAAAACCTTAACTGAACAAAGTGTGTATACATTTTAGTGGGGTGGTTGACTGTAGTGTCATTCCTTGACATACCTATCTGGGATTTCCTTTGTTTTACAAATTACATACTAAATTCTTTTTCTTCTCTCCATTTGGGGGAAGGGTGGAGGGAAATACGGAGGAACCTTTACCCTTAAGGAAAAAAAAAAAAAAAAAAAACCAGAACAGAAAAAAAAAATCTTAATGTAAAATAAATTTAAAAAAAAAAAAAGAAGCCTCTTTTACCATCATAAAAATATTGTGGGGTGGTTTAGGGTAGAGAAATGGAAAGAATCTTTTATTTTTCTTAGCTCTACCACCACCACTACCACCTGTCACCCCTTCCACCATCTTGATTTCTTCATTCTCTCCCATGCGCCAGTCATATTGGCATTGACAAGATTCATTTCTTTTCTTTCTTTTTTTTTTTTTTTTAACTCTATTGTTTTTATTTAATCTTTCTTTATTTGTTTTTTCATCTTTGTGTGTTTTTTCTCCACCCCTCTCATTACTTTGACTGTGCTCCAAGAATTCCCTTCTTTTGTTCTGCCTGCTTTCCACCCCAACCAGCCACATCTTATTTTGTGCACTTTCAACCCAGATCTACCCTGTTCCTTGCACTCCCACCTATCTTATACCACACTTCTTTTTCCTTATTTGATTCTCACTGCAAAGTAGATAGCTCCCACCCCTTTTATTGATATTTTGCAGCTCCTTTATTGTATAACTCTCTCCCTCTCTCTGTCTCTATCTATTTACATCTATTTCTACCTTGTTTTGTTGTTCAATTTCTTTCTCTCATTCTCTCTCCTCCTTTCTGTCTTGTTCCGTCGTTCTCTCTCCTCCTTTCTGTCTTGTTCCGTCGTTCTCTCTCCTCCTTTCTGTCTTGTTCCGTCGTTCTCTCTCCTCCTTTCTGTCTTGTTCCGTCGTTCTCTCTCCTCCTTTCTGTCTTGTTCCGTCGTTCTCTCTCCTCCTTTCTGTCTTGTTCCGTCGTTCTCTCTCCTCCTTTCTGTCTTGTTCCGTCGTTCTCTCTCCTCCTTTCTGTCTTGTTCCGTCGTTCTCTCCCTCCTTTCTGTCTTGTTCCGTCGTTCTCTCCTCCTTTCTGTCTTGTTCCTCTCTCCTCCTTTCTGTCTTGTTCCGTCGTTTCTCCTCCTTTTTCTGTCTTGTTCCGTCGTTCTCTCTCCTCCTTTTCTGTCTTGTTCCGTCGTTCTCTCTCCTCCTTTTCTGTCTTGTTCCGTCGTTCTCTCTCTCCTTTCTGTCTTGTTCCGTCGTTTCTCTCCTCCTTTCTGTCTTGTTCCGCCGTTTTCTCTCTCCTCCTTTCTGTCTTGTTCCGTCGTTCTCTCCTCCTTTCTGTCTTGTTCCGTGTTTCTCCTCCTTTCTGTCTTGTTCCGCTCGTTTCCTCCTCCTTTCTGTCTTGTTCCGTTCTCTCCTCCTTTCTGTCTTGTTCCGCCGTTTCTCTCCTCCTTTCTGTCTTGTTCCGTCGTTCTCTCTCCTCCTTTCTGTCTTGTTCCGTCGTTCTCTCTCCTCCTTTCTGTCTTGTTCCGTCGTTCTTTCTATAATGTTCTGCCTATTTATTTCTATGCATGTATCTATCTATCTATCTATCTCTTTCCATCAGGGCAGATTTTATTTTTTCCATAACAAAATACATGCATATATTAAAAAGAAAAAAATGGATCCTCATTTTATCATCTTACTTTTCTATAAATACTCAAAGTTAGGAACAGTTAAGTGTACTTTGAAATAGAGTTCAAGATGGCATAAAAACACTCTACATTTTTAGTTTGCACTTCTGATTTACCAACAACTGAAACCTCTTTGCGCAATCATATCAAATCTGGTAATAGTTATTGTCATTTCAGTGGTTTGAACATACGATTGGAGGTCACTAGGTCTTGGGTTCAATCACTGATATCAACTAGGTGAAGCATGCTGTATGTAATTCTTTTAGTCTCTAAACAGAATCATTGGAATTCTTCAGCTTGGGATGATATCCCCATGTTTATAATAATCTTTTGGAATATTTCTATAAATTGCCGATCAATGGTTATTGTATTTTTGGAGTCTTAATGCTGTAAGGGTAATCCTTGATACTAGTTTAGCAGGTTTCATTGAAGTGAGTTCAATTTGAAAAAATGGGGACATTTTTTTAATAGAGAAAGAAAGCTGATTAGTATTTGACAATAGTCAGTTGCATTGTGCCTATATATATATATATTCTAAAAAAGTATTAGTTAAATGAAAAAAAAAAAAAAAACTTGAAATTTTCTAAATTCAAAATAATCTTGGGATTTCCCGTTTTCTTTTTTTCAAGTTGAAAAAAATCAAGATTTTAATTTGTTTTTTTTTTTTTTTTTTATTCAAGTTTCTCTTACATTATACAGGATTATCAGTACTGAGAGAAAATCATTAAAGATTTCTGAAAGTAGAATATGCAGATACTAAATCCAAGTTGTCTGTTATAAGTGAATCTATTCATTTCAAATCATTAGTCTGATGAAAAAATACCCTGTGTTGTTAAATGAATTTTAAAAAAATATGCTTAATGATATTGCTTTGGAACACAAAGGTGTTAACTGAGGTTTTATTCTAGTCTTGCCATTTGTCTTGGATATCTACTAATTATAGGTACAGACTTAATCTAAATTTTATTTATTTAGGTCAACATTGTCAGGACAAAATCAATAATCAAGCAGAATTCAATAAATAAGAAAAAAGATAAAAATATTGAATTAAATTTTGGTTGTTCTAACAGTTTTAGATAAAGACAAATAAAGAACATAGTCATATTAACATAGTTATACTTTAAAAACTCAATGCTTACACTCTGTGCAATTAAATTTTCATGACTCTAAAAGCTGGAGAGCTAATCTGTTTTGTATAAGTTTGTTCATTTTTCCTTTTCTGCTTAAATATATAACTGAAAAATTTGCTAATTGCAATCACTGAAAAAATAGTTGTGCTGTATATTTGTTTTATCTTAAGTGACTTTCTCTGCTCTCTGAGTATTTTAAAATTAACATTTTATAAAAGTTTTATATTTAATTGCATTGTGAAAATATACACTTCAACATGTTCTGAATCATTCGCCCCACCCACCAAATGCAGCAAACATCAAAAGAAAATAAAAGTTCTTTCTCTATATTCAAGGGCTCATCGGCTTTTCATTTGTAGAATCAATGTCTGTGTTTACTGGAAGCTTCCATTATTGTAAGAGCGTGTGCATGAAATAAGCCGTTGCTTCTTTTGTTGCCGTGTAGAATTGGAATATTCTAGGCTTTGCTTATGTTCAGTGCATTTGTTTGATATTGATTTCCGACAAACATTTTGATGTTGCCTTAGTTTAAAAGTAAGATTTCTTAGTGCAAACATCACATTACTTTTCTGTCTTTTTGTATATAAAAACAATAACACACACACACGGAGACTGGGCATCATCCTAACCTCAGTGAAATAAATCTTGGAGATTCACCTGAGAATGGACAGTTCTCTTTGCTATGATTCTACAATGCAGATAAAATCTTAAGTCTTAAGAGTTTCTATTTGTATTTTCCATTTTCCTTTGGTTTTGAAATAGCAGGCAACTTTGAAGAACATTGCTGACTCCGGTTTAAGTCTTTCTTTGTGACTCAACAATGTATTTAAAAACTGATCTTGACAAACTTTAATATAAACATTCCAGATTTTTGTTAGTGTGTCCTAAATGAATTTTCTTGGACATCATACCATTTTGTTTGCAAGAATTTGTTTATGAATATTACAGAAATTGGAGCAGGAAGTCTGCTACCATTACTTTCTGACTTTGCTCTTGAATCTTTGTATTGGTGCTGGTTGAGAAACGACTTTATCATTTTAAATGTCCTTAAAGAGATCTAAGCTTTACAAAATATTCAAACTACTTTGAATATTTTTTTAAATAAATTTCATTTCATATTTGAAAGTTTTTGTTTTTTTTTGTTTTTTTTTGCAGCACAGGGGGTTCCAGTATTTTCTTAGTAAACTAAACTATGCAAAGATTTAATTTTTGTTTCATATTTACAAGAAGGATTTATTAAAATTCTAAAGAAACTAACAATTACAGTGTCTGCTTAAAATTTCTCTGACAGTCTTTATTGGCAAATTCATTTTAAACTGATAATAAAGCTATTGCATTCCTCAGCATTTTAAAATAATGATGTCACTTATTTTATTATCTTCTAAGGAATTTATTTCCAAATGGGAATAACTTGAGAGATGTTATTGAAAAAGCATTAAAAAGATATATGCTAATCTCTAGTAATGGCTATAAATATCCAAGTTTTTAATCACTAGAGACATAAACTCAATTCAGAATCGTCTGGAGTGAAGAAAGGAAGGCTTCTCAAATATATATTTCATTAAGGATTTAAGTTTTCTCTACTCACCTACATCTAAATAAATATTAGTTTTATCTCTTAATTTCTCCAGATGGCATTTTTACTTCTCATGTGAAACTTTTTTGTTTTTTTTCATCATGCATTATTTGATTGCAATCTTCTCCTTAACCTTATCACCATCCTTATGTCTGCCTCTGCTTTTTCATTACATATCCAGTCTCTGAATGGGTTTGTTTTACTGAGAAAACTGACAATGTCTCATTCTTCATAGTTGTAAAGAGATCTTGCCACATGAGCACTCCTGTACTGGTTTGGTTCACTGAGTCAATCAAGTACAACGTTATTTCACCATTGCCAAAACATCTCTGCCAAGTGAACCAAGGTTGTGAATAAGGAGTGAAATTTTACAGGCCAGTACATCCTGGAACCCCATAATGGCTATCAGCTGTGCAAAAGGATAGTTGGATGCACATTTTGCCAAAATCTGTGTGATTACAACTTGCCCTGTATTATTTCCGTCTCCTTACCTTCCACTATCATGTAGACATGTTTATATGTCTATAAGAAATAGATATTTTCTTTCAGAAACAACAGTTTTAGTATTTTTTTTCTCCTTTCTTTCGGCATTTGGGTTAGCTTACTAACTGACATCTTGAATTTTGTCACTAGAAACAGTACCAGCTATGTTATCACCATTTTCTTTCCTTACGTTTTTTTTTTTAATATTCTCTTTCCAAGAATTTTATGTTTTATTTTATTTTTTTATATTCTCTCTGAGAATTCTATAATATCTCTTTTATTTTTTGATATTCACTCTTTCCAAGAATTCTATGATATCACTTTTATTTTATTTATTTTTTTATATTGTCTATTTTCCAAGAATTCTATGATATCACTTTTTCTTTTCTTTTTTATCTATGAAAATATTTTTTAACTGAATTATCACTGACTCCAATTGATTAAGTCCTAATAAAACATTTGCCCCTTAAAAAATGACATTCTTCTCAGGTTCAAAAAATTCAACCTAAAAGCAATTGGTATAACAGTTTGCCTGCAAATTTTCATAAGGTTATTCAAAAAATTATATTATGATAATTAACTCTCTGCCTCTGAGATCATTAAGTACAGATTAGAATAATATATAATGTATTATGTATTATATCATATGCCCAGAAGTCAAAACTTTCATTACAATGAAAAATAAAATGAATAATCACACTTACTGTTCATAGGATGATTGCATACAGCATTACAGATTAATATCTTTATTCTTTTTTTTTTTTTTTTTTTTTACACTCATATTTTTATCAGCCAGTAATTGAACCTTTTGTAAAAGTTGAACCTGAAGAGCTTTTTTTGTGGACAATTAATGAAAACCTTTGTTAGTGCAAAGAATTAACAACAGTGTGTTAAATGAGAATGGAAAGAATTTAGAATTAGATTTCTCAAAAGACTTTCATAACATTAATTAATTTCAATATTTAACTTAAGGTACCCTGAAAAGAGTGGATGACATAAATGACACTATAGTCACATGATGTACATCCAATTTAAAATAATTCCAGTTATATTCCATCAGAGATAAATGAAATGGAGGCCATCTATAAATGCTCACGTTAAGATGTGCATAAAACAAAAAAAAAACTATTCAGCAACTCACCAGGTTAATAAATAGTTATTGATAATAATAAATTGAAGCGTTTGTTTCTGAATTGTATTTATAACAAACTGGTAAATATTAGTAAATGATTTTTGTGTTGCTTTCTAAATTAATCATGACTATTGAGTCAAAAGGTGAAATTGTTTAGCTAGTTATTAAGCTTAAATTTAGACCTAAATTGATTGCCAATAAGTAATAGATCTTTTCAACCCTGTGATCAGACATCCTTTCATTAACTATTGTTCCTATTACAATGAATAACCACTTTTGTAGTCATTTACACTATTTACATTATTTGGACTGTTGTCCTCGTCTTTATTGTCATATTCACAATGTTTCAATGTTGTACACTTGAGCCTTCTTCAGGTGATATACGTTGGCATTTCAAACCAGGTAGATTCATGGCCCAGTGGATGAAAGTATACTTGAACCAAAGAGTTCTGAGTTCAATACCTGGTCACAGCAGAACTGAACAAAAATTTGGAAAGTTGAGTTACTAAAGGGAAAGAACTGAAAATGAGATATCCAGAAAAGGCATGGCATGTGAAACTAGAACAAAATACCCTGGTGGACAAAATAAAGGGTTCTGTTCGAAATTCCAATGTATAAAACCTCATGAAGACTAG